CTGTTTAATGATGATTACATCCTTAAAATTGTTGATATAATCAATAGTTTATATATTAAATACATATAAAGTCTGTTTAATGATGATTACATCCTTTAAATTGTGTCTATAATCAATAGTTTATATATATAAAGTCTGTGTAATGATGGTTAAAATGCTTTAAATTGTGTCTATCTAGAAACCTAACAGCTATAATATAACTCCTGCTTGTAAAATCCACATATTGAAAGGTTCTGATCATTTTAGTCATCCACTAGTGAAAGTAAACGCAACAAAAATGGGCTGTTGTTTTAGTTTATTGCTCATCATTTCTTTGTTTTTGGTGGGATTGATCGATGCTCATTAGTTTGAGCTCTGGTAGCTTCATTAGTTATTATATTTGACAGCTCGCAGACTGATTAAAGACAGTGACAGCTGTCAGGGAGTCAAAATCTACTGAGTCATTCACCCTAATAAAACATATTTACTGCCACTTAGTGGACAACAACAGCAGCTATCATTTATACACCTATGAGTTTCCTGCTGTGATATGCCAACAAGTCGATTTAACTGTAGCTGGTAAATTATTGGACAATAATAATTGATTTATTATTATAGTAGCTTAGTATGCAAAACGTTTTATGGGCTTTACGCTCTATAAAAGCTTCTTTTAGTGAACTTTATTAGAAAAAATAACATTTGAAAAGGCTGGTTTGATGAGAGTTCACTACGTCTTTTCCTTTCTTACCCAGGTTATGAACTTCTTTTAAAAATATAAACAATATAAAACCATCAGATATTTTATCAGCATCTGCAATAAGAAGTAGGTAATTATCGGTTATCAGCTGAAAACCCCGAATATTTCTGTTTGCAGACCCACCTGACCTCAATCAAGATGGGGTGTCGCATCAAAAACCGTATCAGCACAAGTCCAGAAGAGGCCGGCCTCGACCCAGCACCGACAGAAACCTGAGCAGTAACAGTTATGATCCTCCTCAACAACATGGACACTTTCATCAGGGCTTTAAACCGCCGTTCAGCCACGATAGTTCAAATTCTGCACCGCATCAGCATGCTCCCTACCAAGAAGAGGAAGGAGCCAGAAGGCGAGGCAGAGGTAGAGGGAGGAGAGAAGGGAATAGAGGTGTAAATGGGAATTTTGGTGGCTCCAGCTCCCGGTGGCAAAGACCTGGCGGTGACTTCGGCCCGTACAGTGGTAACAATCGAGGTCACTCAGGGCCGTATCCCGCGGACGGACCCGACGGACACAACTGGAGAAGAGAAGATGCGAGCAGGAACTATGAACAAACCAATGAAGACCAGGACGTCTGGGCTAAAAAACCCAGGAGGTTTAGCCAGGAGCAGAGGAGAGGACAAACAAATGAAAAGGCGACTCGCTTGAAGGAGAACAACCCCACAGTCGGGGCTCAGAGGTCAAATGACCCCAGAGGAGAAAACCCACCTTCAGACGGCAGGGAGAGAACTCAGAGGAGCCGGACAGGTCCAGACTTTCAATACGACGATTATCAGAGGCAACACACTGAAGCAAAGCGACGGCACGGACCAATCAAACCGCCTAAAACACCTTCTCAAGAGGAAATGAGCTCGGAGAAGGGGTCCGGCGTCCGAGATGACGCTGCCTGTAAATCTGGACGAGGAGCGGGACGACACACACCCCTTCAGGCCAGAGGGGGCCGAAGAACCCATCATCAAAACCACAGGCCAGGCCAGAAGAACTGGGACAAGATACCAGAGAGCAAAGAGACTCAGACAGGTGAGACTGTAACTCTAAAAGTATCTAACACGTGGAGACCAAAGAGTCGTTCTTTCACTTTATTTTACAAAATGTCAAGACGAATCTTTATCTTTGGAAGCTTTACATACACGACACTTTGTATAATTAGGAACTGAACCACTTCCTCGTGCCCTTAATTAGTGTCTTTTAAAGCTGCATAAAACAATTATCTAACACTGGTTGACAGTGTCACTTATGTATGTTCAAGAAGGTTTAAACGGGGATCATCAGCCTCATTATTCTCTGGTGGAGCTGCCTAAAGGCCTCGTGAGACATTAATTATTCCTGAGACGTGTGTTTCTCGTCTGAATCGCTCTCGTCTCGCGAACCTCTGATCTCTTCCCACAGGGTGTCTGATTGAACAGCTGTCTGAGGAGAAATACGAGTGCATGGTTTGCTGCGACGTCATCCGGGTCATGGCCCCGGTGTGGAGCTGCCAGAGCTGCTTCCACGTCTTCCACCTGAACTGCATCAAGAAATGGGCTCGGTCTCCGGCCTCGCAGGCGGACGGTACAGCAACAAAAACATGTGACTCCTCTCTGTGTGGTTATCTGTGCGAGGCGACAGAACGACAGGAGCTCAGCATTAACACTGTAATGTAAAATACTGTTGTGTAGGTGGACAATGCCGGTCACTGTGGCCCAGTTAACAAAAACAAAAAGCAAACAAAACACAGCTTTCAGGCTTTGAATTCCTGCTGCATCAACAGTGTATTGTGTTGCATTGCAGTTTGAGGCCAGCAGGGATATCTGCTCTTCTCTTTTTATATAAAAATAAAATGTGTTTATACTAAAACAAAGCTGTTTTTCAGATTCAACTGAAGGTTGGCGTTGTCCGGCCTGCCAGAATGTTGCACTGAAACAGCCGACATCCTACACCTGCTTCTGTGGTGAGTTCACGCATTTACATACATATTTATAAACAGAAGTAGATTTATTATCAGGTTAGATCATTTTATGTGTCATTTGGTCTATAATCTATAAAGCCTGTTGCCATTAAAGTAGGAAAAACATCTTTTTTTGTTCCACATTTGCTCGACAGGTAAAGTGACAAACCCAGAGTGGCAGCGCAGTGAGATTCCTCACAGCTGTGGCGACATGTGTGGGAAGAAAAGGAGCGGCGTGGACTGCAACCACCCCTGTAACATGTGAGCCCTAGAATATTTTGAGTGAAACAACACTGTGAGGGACAGTCGATCCCAAGTTGTTTCTCATTATTATTAGATGTGGTTGTATCGTAGGTCCAACAAGGAGTAAATCTGTAGAAAATGTGGTATAAAGTACTAAGATTTTGTTGTTTTTTTAATTATTTTATATTACTGTGTCTTTAATTATCATCAATCTAAAATCTTCCAGAAGAGTATTTGTGTTAAACGTTACTTTCTGTGTCTCCCTTCAGCTTGTGTCACCCTGGACCTTGTCCACAATGTCCTGCCTTTGTAACAAAATCCTGTATCTGTGGGAAAACCAGGTACTCTACATTTGAATCATGTTTGTATCTGTGTATCCTCTGTATTGATCTTTGGACATTATGTATGTATGTGGTACCCGAATAGATTGGTTCATTTATCTGGGGGTTTTGACAGCATGGTATTGATAGAACCATATCTTTGCAGCCAGCCAATGCGCTGTGGCCAGGGTGCAGTGCTGCAGTGTGACAAGGTGTGTGGGGCTGTACTCAACTGTGCTGAACACACCTGCGCTCAGGTGTGCCACAGAGGGGCATGTCAACCCTGCCAGCTGCAGGTTCAGCAGGGTGAGTCTCACTTTGCCAGCACTGCTCCATACAATGTTCTCACAGATAAAGATGTGTCTTTTTCAGACTTATCTGATTATACTTTCTGTTTTTATTTTCTTCAGTGTGCTACTGTGGTGTTACCATTCGTGAAGTCCTGTGTGGCACAGATAAAGACGGTTTTGATGGTTCTGGGCATTTCTCCTGTCAAAAAATATGTGGGATGTAAGTCTGGCCGTCATACATTAATAATAAAGATCTTATTTCGTACAGTTTCCACCACTGCCTGACACTCACTGTCCTCCATTCAGGATGTTAAACTGTGAAGCTCACCAGTGCCAGCAGGTGTGCCACCGCGGCCGGTGCCCGCTGTGCCCACGCTCCCCGAGCCTGGTGAAGTCGTGTCCCTGCGGTCAGACACCACTGGCCAAACTCCTGGAACTGGGCTACTCTGAACGACGGAGCTGCTCTGATCCAATCCCCTCCTGTGGAAAGACGTGCAACAAACCCCTGGCCTGTGGCTCCAGCGGTAGGGAAGTTAGTCTGAACTAGAAAAAGTACAAGTTTGTGTTTTTCAAACGATGGCTACTGCCTTGTAGACATGCTCAGAGTCTGACAGCCTGCTGAAGCTCAAATATTTTCTCATGACAGTGTAACAGGTTTAAGGAAGTGAAGCTATCGTCACGCTGGATCTAAAACTGAGCAGGATATGAAAACGTGTGACAGTAATGTGGTAATTTGTAGTCGCAAAACAAGCTCAAAAAGGCAGATTCTTTGAGTTAATTTAGTTCTTCTTTTAATAAAGTTGCATGTTAATGAGATGATTTTGAAGGAGTGTGATTGATCCAATCTCTCATGACGAACATCATGATGTCAGGCTTTATCGATCCAAACTGAAAGACTTGCTGAGCCTTAGGATGTTATGTTTGGTTTCATATCCTGAGTTTGTTCTTTTTCACAACTGTATTGTTCACTAGGCTTTTGTTACTCAATATTGGCAAATGTGTTTTTGATGTTTGATATTACTCCTGGATGTCTTAACTCCTGTAACCTGTTGTATGGACATCTAATCCAATCTCTTTTTACAATAAATATTGTCTCAGTTTTTCGGGTCTAAATGAATGAACTTGTGTTATTTCAGACACCATCCATCTGTGTAAGAAGTTGTGCCATGAGGGCAGCTGCGGGCCCTGCTCCCTGACCTCTACTATCAGATGCAGATGTGGCTCAAAGACCAAGGTAGGCAGAAACACCTGCGCAATGTTTGTCTACACTGTTTGTGCTGCTGTCATTTGTTATTTGTATGCTTCATTTATGACATTTTGTTTTTCAGGAGGTCCCATGTGCAACAATCCAAAAAGAGGGTGAGAATTCAGCAGATTCAGATCAAATTTAAGCAAAAGTGAGATCACTGACTGCCTGCGTTGTCTGGTATGTTACTTCTGACTCTTTTTTTGTATTCCAGAGGAGCTCGTCTTCACTTGCGAGAGGCGCTGCAATAAGAAACGCTCCTGCGGCCGACACAAGTGCGGCGAGCTGTGTTGCGTGGTGAGTTTTCAGTGACTCTGTGTCCCTGTGGTGTAGTTTCATACCACCTTAAAGCCAGGTAGACTTAAACAGTTTGATGTTAAAAGTGGTAATAAAACGGAGACAATGCTGTTGACTTGCGATACTTAGTTTAATCATATAAAAAACAACTCTGGTGGTGTAGGCAAGTTAACCTGAAAAATATGTATAAAGTGCTTTAATAAAACTGTACAGTCGTATCCCATTTAGCAGTCAGTTTTTTATGTAAGCTGGACAAGAGGCTATATGGTGACCGTGTTAATTCCTGTTACATCAATCACAAATGCTATAACGTTGTGTAATATGGAAATAGACAATTTGTTTTGGATTTGGTTAGAAAATAATGGAAACAAGCACCAAGTGCAGGAACACACTCAGTTACCAGTTTGTTACTATGTATGTTACATGTATTTATAGTAAGCAATCTGTTTTGTCTCAGCTTCAGTATCAGTATCTTCAGTAACCTTTTGTTTTCTTACACATTATTTAAACAAGAAACCTGCTCTGTGATCAAATAGCTTTGTTTAATTTTGCTCTAGAACCAGACAGTGTCTCATTCATTAGAAGAGTTGAGCATTCTTGAATACATTGAATCAAAGGTCTTGAATTAGTAGTAAAAAGTTTGGTTATTGGGGAAAAAGATTTCGAGTAAAGGAGTTGGTGTCACTGGTTTCTGTCTGTCCGTCCAGAACGTGGAGCACAAGTGCCTCCTAATCTGCGGCTACAAGCTCAACTGTGGCCTCCACCGCTGCCAGGAGCCTTGTCACCGTGGAAACTGTGAGCCCTGCTGGCAGTCCAGTGAGTCCTGCAGTCGTTTTGTTCGCTCCAACAGCGCTGTATTTATGAACCAAGTCTCAGAAATACCACATAGCTATTCTACCATTTAAAAAAAAAAAAAAGTAATTTAAGGTTCTACATCATTTTAGTCTTTTTTTCCTTTCTTTGTGGTATTATGTTTGGCATTAATGTCCCATGATGTTACCACACAGCTCATATCCTATGTGGCTTCCTGTTATTTTTTTTGTTTTTTGTAGGTTTCGATGAGCTGACGTGTCACTGTGGCCTCACTGTCTTGTACCCACCCATCGCCTGTGGCACAAAGCCACCAGAGTGCAAAAACATGTGTACAAGAAGACACGAGTGTGACCACCAAGGTGAGCTAAAATGGTAAATCTCCACGCTGCAGTTAAAAGCTGCCAATGAGAACGTTCTCCTAACATTTATCTCTTGTTTAGTGTTTCACAACTGCCACAGTGAAGAGAAGTGTCCACCTTGCACCTACCTCACCCAGAAATGGTGCATGGGAAAACACGAGGTAACATCCCCAGAGCTCACACTTTGTATCACACAACAGTTTGTTTTTATCCCTGTGATTAAAGTGACACTCTTTTCTTCGGACCCACAGCAACGCAGCAACATCCCATGTCATCTGCAAGACATTTCTTGTGGCCTGACGTGTAATAAAACGTTGCCATGCGAGATGCACCGCTGCAGACGGATCTGCCACCGGGGCGAGTGTCTGGCAGAAGGCAGCTGCCAGCAGCCCTGCGCGCTGCCTCGTCCAGACTGTGGCCACCCGTGCTCCGCTCCCTGTCATAAAGGCAGCAGCTGCCCACGCACCACCTGCACTGCCAAGGTACAACACACTGAAAGCAGCTGGACTTCCAGTAGCTGAAATATGGGTTGCAAAGTTTGTGCAGATGGTCTCTGTTACAACAAGTCATGGTTGCACGGGGAGTTGAGGCATATTTTCCCACCATCAAAAGTTTCTCCTCCATTTAATAACTTATTACCCTGATGAGAAATGTTTTTTAGTCAATAAATGTGTCACGTTTCCTAATTACTGAAGGGTTATGTTCAACACTCCAGCGGTATATTCTTTCTGTTCCTTTTGGCTGCGCGTAAGCTCCCAGCAGCTGATGAAATCTGCTGTAATAGTGTTTAACAATCATAAATAGTTAACTTGGATTAAATAATAACATTTCAGTGGCAGCCCTCCAGACTCAAGAGCTCAACAAACAATAAAACCTTTCACCGCTGCAGGAATTCCTCACATGAGCAACATATTCGTCCAAAATCTAGCCCTCATATACTTTACAGTAGTACTGGAGTCTAATTCTTCCTACTTTTCACAGGTAGCTGTGCAGTGTGATTGTGGTCGAAGAAAGGAAACGGTGAACTGCACAGAGGCAGCCAGTTCATATCAGAGGTCGGTTTAACTGTTTCTACACTCAGCTGTTTGAATGTTGGAATATAAAGTGGTTGAAACGTCCTTCAATCTCCGGTCCTGCAGGTATGCCGCCATCGCCATGGCCAGTAAACTGTCTGACATGCAGCTCGGTGACTCCATGGACATCGGCCCGTTCCTCACGAAGAAGGAGATGAAACAGAGCAGGTAGACTAATGGAGGAGATTGATTATTTCCTTTTTAAATCTAGATGGAGAGTGTTTGTTTGCTGAAAGTGACACACACACACACACCCACACACACACACACACAGAGTATGATTCATTCACAGTGCTTTTAGCACAGTTAAGAGGTGTTGGGAGTCCTGGCACGATGCGGTTACTTTTAATCAATAATGAAACATTATTTAAATTTTCTTCCGCATAGAAATAGATTTCCTGTTCACCGTGAATGATGACTTTTTTGTTTGTGCATTAATATTTAATTCAATCAATCAAAAATGGGGGGATGCATTTAATGGATTACAGGCACCGCTCAGAACTGAGGACCAGAGCTATTTGTCTCATAAGAATCATTTCAGCACAGCGAGTTGAAAAAAAATTAGGTGTGAATCGGCATCCATCTTAAAGATTTGAGGTGAAATCGGCCTACGTGTTTGTTTTTTCTCAGGCTTGAATGTGACCAAGAGTGTGCTACTTTGGAGAGAAACAGGCGTCTGGCGGAGGCGTTGCAGATCGACTCATCTTCAGACCCCTTCAACGTCCGCTCTACCTCTGTATACAGCGACAGCCTCAAAGACGATGCAAGGTCTGCTCTTTACAATTCATACAGTTTTTTCCCACAGCCAACAAATACAGATGATTCAACAGCACTTCAGACTCACCCCTGTTCCTTCTCCCTTTCAGAAAAGACCTGAAATTTGTCACAGAAGTAGAAGAAGAGATCAAGAGTCTTGTTGAGCTTGCTAATAAGGTAAGATGATACAATGGATCCCTTGTGCCAGTGTGGGCCTGACGGTTTGGTTGACCTCTGGTGATGTGGTGCTCCCTCTGGTGGCTGTGATAGGAGCCACTGTTGGGCAACAATGACTGAGGAAGAACTGATAACATGTTTAAAAGCTGCACGTTTATAACCTTAACTTCACATTTTTAATATAGAAGCGTCTCACTGATTTACATGCAAGCTTTGTTTGACTTTGTCAGCTGTTAATTGATCTATTATACACTCATAGTAATGCAACGTCACTAATACCTGGTTAATAATTATATCTTTATTGTCCCTAAGGAAGTTATTTGAATGTCAGTTTTTATACTTTCTTTCATGTTTCTTTAGGATATTTCTGCTTACTATGTTTATTGTTAGGCACTATTATACCAAGTTAAAACCTGCTCAGCAATGAACCTGATTCTGATTCTAATAAACTGAGCTCCAAATGTCAATTTGTTTAAAGCTGCAGCTCCTGGTACCACGAAGCTGAGGGCAGCAGGTTTAAAGAATGTGCTGCAGCATTTTCTATAATAGATTACTCTCCAATCAGCCTCAACAGATGATTGATAAAATAAAACAGTACAAAATGCAAAATAGCTTCTATATTCTAATCAAAGTTAATGTATGATCGATTATTGTAGTATCAGTATCTGTAACGTTAACAATAGTTCTTTTATAAACACTAAGAGCTAGTGTCAATTCAGAAGAGCAAGCAAGGCCTACCTGCTTTCAAGTGTGACATTAATGTAAGAATCTGAACCCTCAACTTACATCATTTGTACTTTATTTTCTGACCCACTTGTTCTCTATAGATCTATTTTTTGAGCTCGGTCAATTCTCCAGTGGACCTGCAGGATGGAACCAGTCGCGGTTGCTTGTAGATTTCTGACAGGACGGCGAAGCCTCCTTAGTAACTGTTTCTAAGCCAGACTAAATTAGTAGGTACTTCATAGGGCAGTAAAAATATCCTCCATGTTCTTCTTCTTTTTTCAGCTTTGTTCAAAATCTTTGAGGCGATCAGGAGTGAGGCTCTCAAGGTCACTGTTGCTTTTGGGTTCTTTGCCAAATGTAAAGGATTGTTTATCACAAGTCCAATCTCTTCTTGGAACAATGAATCATGGCGGCAAAGCTTTTCCTCCTCGGAGTCTGTATATGAAAGGGGTTTTTTGTGCTGCGTACTCTGCTGCCTTTACTGACTTCATTTTCTACTCTTTACCGTCCTGTGTGGGCTTCTACTTTCCCAAAACCAAACTAATTAAAACCTATTCTTTGTTGAAATTTTGTTGTAATACTTTCTAACTAGCTTCTGGCAGAGAAAGTGGTCCAGTTTATGCCAGTAGTTGTTCTCTCCAGGTGTAGTACACAACTATAAAAAGTCTGGTAGAACATGCTAAGGCTGGGAAACTATTTCTTTATGGAGCTGTCTTTATGCATCGGGGGGCTTCGTCATGTTGAAACAGGAAAGAAATCCTCCCCAAAGTGTTCCTACAAAGTTGGATTTACACTATAGTCTAAAGTATCATTAAAAAAGGTTAATTTCCAGCATTTTCACCTGTCTGTGTAAGCTGGAGGGAAAGGACACAGAGATACACAGTTGTGACCCCTTAAAATGAAGCAATGCTATTTTTATTTATTATTTTCCACCTGATGTTTCCAGTTCAATAAAGGGATGATTGTTAATATTCAGATTCATTCTCCCAGGCGCAAATTCAATAGATGTACTGCAGAATTATTTTCAGGGTGTGTATGTGTGTATAAATAACTATATATTTATTTTATGTTCTGTTATTCTATAGATTTGATCCTTTTTATATTTGTGTAGCATGAAGTAACCATAAACTTGTTACATTATACAACCTTGTCTACTCGTTTGAATAAAAAAGGTAAAATTATCATTTCATTCACACAGAAAGAGCAACAATTGTGAAGTCTGAAACAATAAATACAGATTTTGTTTAGTAGAAATGTTTTTTTTGTACTTTCCTATCCTGTTAATCATCCGGGGCCCCTTAGATTTCTGTTGCTTCCAGTGCTTCTGACCTCCCAGTTTATAAGAGAATACTTTTTAGATGTAACTGAGTGAAAGAAAAATAACAATACGCTGATGCAAAGAACCACATTTTCAACATGACTTTACTGATGTCTGCAGGGAAAACAGCCAAAGAGGAGCCACTGTTTCCCGCCCATGAACAGAGAACACCGAAAGATCATCCATGACCTAGCCGAGGTGTACGGCGTGGAGAGCGTGAGCTACGACAGCGAGCCCAAACGCAACGTGGTCATCACAGCCCAGAAGTAAGACGTTATACAAACGGTAACATACATGAATACGTTTACATCCTGGACGATTGCGGGTGTTAAAGATGTGTTTTTTTATTCTCAGGGGGAAGTCGGTCTGTCCAAACTCAATGCTGACGTCACTGATAGAGCGAGAGACGGCTGCGAGGGCCCCTCCTCCCATCGCTCACATCAAACAGCACAGCAGCAAGTAAGTCTTCTTCCCTGGTTCACAGAGACTGTTGTGTAACTAGAGGGTCACAAAGTTGATCCCTAACAAAAGCCAAGTGTCCTTAAAGGTCCAGTGTGTCACATTTAGGAGGATCTGTTGGCAGGAATTGAAAATAATATTAATAGGTATGTTTTCATTCATGTATAATCTGCTGAAAATAGGAATTGTTATGTTTGTTACCTTAGAATGAACCGCCATTTTATACAGTAGCCCAGAACGGAAAAACAAACAGCGACTTTAGATGAGCTGCCATAGTTTCTCCTACACACTACACAGCCTCAGTCCTGGGTCGTCAAACACAGACACAAGCAGTGTTCAGTTAGTCTACCACTAAATCCTACACGCTGGTCCTTTTTATCTCATATATTGTCCTTTATCGTTCCTGTTTCAGATTTTACTGCCTGCTAATGACTCTTTTTCTTCTTGATTCTCCTCCCAGAGCTGCCGTTGGAAGCACCTGGTCGAAGATGGTTAAAGAAGAGCCTGTAATAGATTATTTTGATGTCCAGGACTAAAATGAGGCCAAAATAAAAAGAGGAAACCTCAGGATCCACTCATAAACATCAGTCTACATCTGCCAAAAAGCTTGAATAACCTTATTTTTTTAAATTTGTGTTAATCGAAAGATCAATAAGAATTTCTCTGGCTACATAATGAAATAAAAATTATCTTTGGAAATATGTTATGTAATCGCCCCCCCGGGGACATCCCACACTCTGTGTATCGAGGAGGATGAATTGAAGGAGTGCAGAGTCAAGTGTCCCCTCCTTGAATTTAGATAATAAAGCCTCACACAGACTCTGAAGATGGATCAGTTTGAAAAAAAGCCTCCTGATTGTTTTCTCTGCCTCCTTTTGTGTGCAACCAGTCCCTCACTGAACCCTTAATAATTAATAAAATAAATATTGGTGAATTTTTCCTTATTTGAAGGACACAAATAGCTCATATCTCAACAGTAGATGCTTCTTCAGATTGATCTCCCGAGTTTAAGATTCTCAAACGCTGTGCCAGAAAGCATTTTTTTTAGCCATGGGATATCTTTTGTTCTTTTCTGCTGGTGTTGAGCCAAGGGTTCAGTAGTAAACCCTCTGCTGATTGAGTTTGTGGGTGGGTAGGAGTGGGCTCTGCTGCGGTAGAGAAAGCTTTGTTTGAAACAAACAACCCAGATGTGCTGAAAAACTCTTCCTCGGTGAGGCCTGAAGGACTTTTTTAAGGGTCAGTTTCATAACTTATGGACCTGAAAGTCACTTAAAACAGGGAGGATATTGTTTAACTTGACAGTTTGTGAATCTGTTGTCGAGCTGATGGACAGATGTTCAGTTTGTATTCACGTACATTGTGATCGCTCCTGACATTAACTCATGTATTAAAACCATAAACAATCCACAAACACTTTGAGTTCTGGCTTTTATTTCATGGTGTTTTTGTGTGTGTGCAGCTTTTTAAGGCTTAACTTGATGTTTTTATGTTCACTAGAAATGTTCTTAAAATCCCACATACTGTAAAAACCTCAAATAATATTCTTTTATTGTATTTTGGTTAAAAGATTTTAACATTTATGAGCGAAAAATATTATGTTTCTCATATAATTTGTAAATAATCTTTTATAATAACATTTCCATGCTTGATTAAATGCATATTTTACATTTTATTCCTTATATTTCAGCAGAAATTCCTCCATCAGCTTGTAGTTTATTCTAATAATCTTCCAAAATGTAAATATCCCCTCTATCTGACAGACATAATATAAGTTAATGTCTTATAACTGCTCTATAAAGCATCAGTAAATTATGAATTAACTGGTGTATTGATACAACTTACCAACCCCTTTCCTAAAAGCTGCCTTATGATAAAGTGCTTCAGTTCCTCTTTAGGTTAGGGAGCTGATGGTGCTCTAGTGAACAGGTTTTTTTTTTTTTTTTAATTCAGTGCATCACTTATTACCTAAAATCCACCAAAAATAAAAAATATAAAAAACGCCCATAAATAAACCTATAATCATCATTTTAACACATCCTCCACCAGACAATACAACATATCCAACCCCCCCCCCTTTAAAAAAAAAAGAAAAGAAAAAGAGGATAATTTGATGACACTCCCTGCCACTGGTGATTTTTCATTATATCGACTCTCCAGCAGAGACCTGCGCCTGCGCTCCAGCTCCCCCTTCCCGAACAAGGCTTCACCAATCCTGGCTCTGGCTCCATCCCCGGCTCGGCGTCTCACAGGCCAGCGCTCACATAAGTCGCCTTAGCTGTCCAGCAAATGGGGAAGTGATAGGGGAGGAAGACGCTGCTGTCTGAGAGGAGAGAGAAAGCCCGTGAGGAAGTTGAGGAGTGAAGGGGGGAAGAAGAAAAAGCTGCGCCGCGCCGGACCGGACACCTCCAGAGAGAGAGAGACACATCCGACAGTTCGCTGTTATTTTTGAGTAGACTCCCTCCCCCTGTTTTTTTTACTTCCCCCCCCTCCCCAACATCCAACATCCAAAAAAAAAAAAAAAAAAACGCATAGTGATGGAGAGAAAGGTATGGATGCTTATGCTACCTTGTGATCGCACATTTGTTTTATTTCCACATCACTTTGGCTCTGAGTCTGCGCTGGATCCGCATCCACCATTTAAACTATTCTTTATATATTGTCTTTATCCTGTAAGGCGCGTTGCCAGACCCTGGATTAGTAGTGCGCACCGGGAGTTGTTTCCCCCCCTCTCGTCTGTGTAATTTATTGTGCTAAAAAAAAAAATGATTCATTTCCACCTAGAATTGTGTTTTTTTGATGCTTATTCCCTTTTTCTGCGTATGCGCATGGTGCACGTTGTGTTGGGAGATTATTTAAGGGGAGTGGGGATGTGGGGGTTTAAGGTTGGGGGTGGTGGGGAGGAAGAGGGGGTGACTGGAGGCTTACCATACAGTATAGGCTGCATCACCACACGGCCAACACTGTATAGTTGCAGCACCTCCACCTCTCCCCACCTCCCCTCCTCCTCCCCTCCCCTCCGTTTTCCAGCCGCAGACGCAGACACCAGCGCGGCTTGTTAACCTTGACTCGTGTGGGAAACAGACACTTGAGGAGTAACACAAGCTTGGAGGAGGAGGAGGAGGAGGTGGTGGTGGTGGAGGGAAGGATGCATGCATGGCCATCCTCTTACCTCTTTACGCATGCCTTTGAATCCATCCGCCGTCAACCCCTCTTACCTTCCCTCCTCCTCTCTTTTTGATTCAGGGTGCACACACACACACACACACAGTCATATAATGGTGCTATATGATGTGAAAAAAAGGGGTTTCTTAAGTTGCCCCACTAAAGAGTCTGCAAGTGTGTTTTGGATCTCGCAGGGAGAAAAAGTTTCAGTTTCACTGTGTTAATCTTGCTGGCAGGCTGTGGGTACACACAGCAGCAGGAGAGGAATTTTATTTTTTGGGGGGGTTGTACAGTTAAAGCCAGATCTACTTTTGCTGATGCAAAGGAAAATCAAATTTTTTTATATTCCAGCTGCAGTGTATTCACTTGTGTTGGAGGTAAACCAGCTTTTTTCACTGTTTATAGAGCCTTAAAGTCCACAAAGAGAAGCCACAAAATGCTGTTTTAAAGGAGGAGTTTGACATGTTTTGCTTTCCTGTTTAAAGTTAAAATCTCGTCTCGTTTAAATGATTTTTGTGCAGAGTTTTGTGTTTAAAAAGCCACCAGGAAGAAGCTTTTGTGTAGTTACAGCAATGGCGTCCGTCACGTGACGCACTCTGGTTGCATTGTGCAAGAAGCGGCTGCAAAACAGCGTGCAGAATTTGATCCATTGAGTCCGATAACGTTTTTAAAGTCTGGAAGATTTGCATAAGATTTTATTATTTATCCTAATTTAAGTAAACGGAGGGTAACTGGCTGCTTGCTGTAGCTTCGTATGTAGCGTACGGATGAGAACTACCTGGTTTAGTGGACTTTATACACAGGAAATAAGTCTTTAAAGGAGCTTTACGTAAGAAGAAGGGACTCAACATCGGCCTCCTGAGGTACAAAGTGGTATTACAAGACAAATCTGCCCCTACTCAGCGACACCATTGGGCTATATGTTTGCTTGTTAATTCTGGACTAAGACAACTGAATATAGAAACTAAACTGTATGGTTTTTGAGTAGCACGTTAAGGGCTTGAACTCACCTCTAGTCTAGAGAAATAGCTGTAGCTTCAATAGTTAGACAATTAAGTAGACTTTTAAAAACAATGTACGTTCTGTTTTTACTTTAACAATCAAAAATCAAACACCGAATTATCACCCAGCCAGAATGTGAAGAAATAGCAGTTCTCTTGGGACGAAGGTCCCTATGTAAGATGTGCAATGATAATCGCGGAAGTTTAGCATGCCAAACCAGCAGCCC